TTCTTCCCTGCCACCTTCTTTAGACAAGCTCCCTTTCCCAGCTGCTCGGATGGGTGATCTTTTGATGTTTTCTGCTGGAGACTCTCAAAAGTTGGTTTCCGATCACATGCTGCAGAAATTGAGCTCCCATGATTCTCAAAACGCAGTTATTACTGTCGATTCAAACACGGGAAATAAACAACCGGAATTACGTCCTTATTCTGCTGTTGATGGTGAAAATTCAAATTGCCAAAAGAAGGTTAAGGTTATCAGGAATGATAATAACACCTTGTGTTCAAGGAGTAAAACAAAAGTGGAACCCAAGAAGGAGAATCAGTCAAGGATTGGTGTAGGCAGCATTACTCGAGCTATAGGTGTTAAAACCAGAAGCATGATACGCTTGAAACAGAAAGAGCTTGTCTTTGTTCATCATACTCCAAAGAGAAAAGAATTGCACGGAAAATCTACCCAAAATGAACATGAATTAGTAACTTGTCTATCATGAAAAGAAGTAGGCCACCGATACCACACAAAACCAATTATCTGATGTTCACTCACTGCATAAAATCATTGTGTTGATGTGTACTGTTTTTCTATTTAAATTCTTTTAAAGCAGTTTATAAGTTTCAAATCTTACCTGTACCATACAAAATCTGCGTCTCGTTATCATCTTCTGCAAAACAGCAATGACCAAAACCTGCATGTTCACCAAGCAGGTGTAGAGCAGATTGTTATTCTGATCTTGAAAAGATGCTTTTGAAACTTGAAAGTATGATATTGCCACGCTACATAAATGCTAACTGGCTTCCAAAATCTTTTCACTCGTGGGTACAAACATGTCAGATTGCACATAGTGCTGAATCCATTGAATTGCTAAAGGAAGAATTGTATGATGCTATACTACGGAATGAGGTCAGGTCCCTTGGGGATGCAACCCACACTTGGTTCCGAGTGGAAAACCTGGAAGCATCAAGTTATGAACTTGTCATCCAGTATCTAGTGCTGGAGATATCAATCAACAGAACAGCGATAGTCCTTCACACACAAGTATACCAGTTAGCAAGAAGAGGCCCAAGCTTGAAATCTGTCGTGCACAGACACATGCTTCCCAGGTGCTAAGCAACGATTCAGATCAAATCATGGCTGTTGAAATTGACTCTGATTTTTTTAGTAACAGAGATGCTGCTGTGTATGTCAATCTGCCAACACCAGAACTTTGTAAAAAGGACGATGAGAGAGGGGAAATCACGCCAATGAGCACGTCAAAAACTTTGACAGATGGAATAATATTGTTGTTGAAGAAAGGGATTCAGAGCTCTTTCACACCAAAGTTGTTGAAACAACAACCGCAAGTGAAGAGGTCAGGAGTGCCTCAACTCTGCACAGTCAGCCTAAGGAAGTGGAATTAACACCTGTGAGTGATTCAGTTGCTAAGAAATCTGTAGTTGCTGGGAGTAAAAACCGACAGTGCATAGCGTTCATAGAGTCGAAAGGAAGGAAGTGTGTGAGGTGGGCAAATGAGGGGGATGTTTATTGTTGTGTGCACTTAGCATCTCGCTTTACTGGTACCTCTAGCAAAATTGAAGGGACACCCCTGTTGACACACCAATGTGTGAAGGTACGACTGTACTTGGCACAAGATGCAAGCATCGGTTTTTATATGGTTCCTCATTCTGCAAGAAACACAGACCTAAAAATGATGCAAATAGTATCTTCCTTTCTCCAGAGCACACACAAAAAGGAAACACTTGGAAACCACATCCTGCAGAGATATGGTTTTGGTGGGAGACAGCGAAAGTCCTCTGCAAGTGGAGCCAGTGTCAATAATTGAGCCTCATGTTGCACAGAGAAGAAACAGTTTGATCAAGAAGCTGGAACATTCTGGTAAAGATCATGATAGCACAGAATTGCTGCATTGCATAGGGTTATGGTCTCATAGTGGTTTTGTATACACCCGTTTTTGACCGGGTTTAAAAATATATATATATATATAAAATAATTATTTATAATTAATTATTATAATATTATTATTAATACTACTAATATTACTTTTGCAGGTTTTTTTTAACAAACCACTACCCCACCATTATCTCAACTACATGCATCACCCACCTCTCCACAATTATCGGCCACTACCCCCACTAAAAAACCAATCTCACTTTCTTCTTGCTTTTTAAGGGGGGCAATAACAAAACAAAAGGGAGGTGGAGGAATAAGCAGTGGAATTACACCACTGTTTGATTAGAAAATCATCACCCAATGTCAGTTGATGGCAGTGCGGTAACTAGGGTCTTCCAAAATATGGTCGAGGTCGATGGAAGCAGCGGAAGCGGTCGAGCTCGTTCATGGCTGTGTTTCGGAGATCATTCGGAGCAAAAAGAAGGCTCTCGAAAAAGCGAAAGCCAAAAGTGTTGTCGCCGTTGGGTGTGGTGAAGATCTCCATTCCAGGCTGTTATTAGCTGGCCACGAAGAGGAAGCTTTGAGGGATAGGGTGATCAGCTCCATAATGGCCAAAAGAGACACCACTTCCTCCGCCGTGACGGGGTTGTTTTGGCCGCTCTAGAAGCATCAAAGCGCCGAGAAAATGATGGTGAAAGAAGTGGCATCAATGCTTAACAACGGCAGAAAGGGATTCGATTTCGAAACATTGAAGGAAATGAATTGCGACAAAGCCACCGTCATCCGAAACTACAAGTCTTTCGACGTCGTTTCTAATCCTAACTTCCTCGGCGTCCGTTCTCGTACTTCTCACATCGTGGAAAGCGAAGCTCAGCTCCCTCACCTAGCATTGTCGTACTATGATTCGCCGGAGTGGGACTTTGATCGCAAGGTTTACTTATAAAGAAAGCAAGTTGATCTAATTTCAGCTACGGTGAACTTCTTCATCGTGTAGTTTGACTGCTCAAAGGGTGTCACCCTCATAGAGGTATTTCCTGTCTATTTTTGCTAATGATGTGTATGTTTCTTCATGATTCTTGAGATTTTTGCTGGAGCAATTTTGGGTTATGAAAAGCCAAATGAAATTTCATCTCAATCTTTTAAACAACTGATCAGGAAACAAAAGTGTTGTCATAAATGCATTCTGAGTTTTCTACATGGATACGCTATATGTGCATTTCTTCTCTTTAAATATTGATTGGATAAGGAAAAGAAAACTTACTATTTAAGAATAATATAAAGCTGTTGAACCATTTTCTGCCTTGTTTTGGTAAAGTTACTACTCAATTCTAGTTTTCTCTGTGAGTTGAACGTGAAATCCATCTGCAAATTGTAAACCTAGAGTTCGGATTATATTTCCTCCTTTGATTGGTTCTCACATGAAAGGGCTCGGAATCTCGATGAGTTTCTAGCGACATATTAGCGCGGAGCAGGTAAAGAACATATCTTAGTTTGTAGCAGCATGTTATTACCTATATTTTGTAATCAGGAACTGGAGAAATATGGCCATCTGCACTTTAGTGAAATCTGTTCCTACACAAATTCTCTTGCCACCATATGATGTAAATGATTATTTAATGTTTATTATTATTATTATTTTATTTTTTCTCTCTAACTTTTTTTTGACTTTTTTACGGATAATTTCAATCGATCAAAGATAATTATTTTGAATTAAATTTTTAATTTTCGCAATTAAGACAACCAACAAATTAATTGGTACCGAAAGGGTGGTTCAAGGGTGCTAATCCTTCCTTGATCGTAACCGACTCCCGAACCCGACACATTTCTGAAAAACGTAGATCAGGTAAGATGGTGTCCGATCTACCTAAATATTTTTAAAATGATCAGTGGCGACTCTAACCCGTTTATTCAAATCGAAGCCCAATCCGGGGTCCAACCGAAAGACGACAGCGACAGGTTTGATCCTTGTCGTGAAAGTTCTAACAAGCATTCATTATACTGTGATAAACACCTTCCAAGTTGGCTCAAGCGTGCAAGAAATGGTAAGAGTAGGATAGCATCCAGAGAAGTGTTTGTAGATCTTTCGAAAGACTGCTATTCAATTGAGCAGAAATTGCATTTTCATCAAGCATGTGAACTTTTCTACATGCTCTTCAGAAATTTTGGCATAATGTAATAAAATAATCCTAACATTTGATATTATAATCAAATATATCCTTATCATTTTTTGACATATTCGTCCACTCAATGTTTAATTTTGGGTCAAAAATCAAAATCATCAATCAACGCCTAATGCTGACCAAGCATGTACACAGGGACGTAGATGTCAACGTGGCATGTCCATGTTAGAGCTCATGATGACATGGCATTGCCACATCAAAATTTTTAAAAATAAAATAAATAATTATTATGATTAATATTATTTATATTTAATTATTTATAATCAATCAGAGAATGACACATGTAACTCTATGATTGGTGTTTGTTTGGATGAACCCCTAAAAAGAGAATATATTAGAAGTGGATCAAACATAGGCAATTGTTGTGGAATGGCACAAGTTTTGACACTAAATCAAATTTATTACTTGATTAAATAATGTACTAAATGCTACTTAATAGATACTTAATTTGAATTTAATGAAAAAAATAAAACACGTATTTATAATATCACTTATAACTGATTATTCCCAAAACTCATCTTCCCATTCTAGATTATTTTCAAAACAGATTGGGGTTTAGCGTTTCGTTACCACAATCCTCAATTTTTTTGGAATCAAACGCAGATCCAAACCAGAGAGATTTTCGGTTTCCGTACGTGTTACGGAAAGTGAGAGAATATGAGATCCCCCCTTCGCTTTTCACTTCTTGTTCTTCTTCTTCGTCTTCCACGACGTCGTTTGGTAAGGTTGGGTTTGTTGGATGGTATTTAGGAATGGTGAAGTCGTGATTTTTTTTCATATTAGGGGTTTGAATTTCTTCATTTGGTGTTTGACTTTATTAGAGATCGGCGAGGGGTTTCAGTTGCAAGCTATTGGTAATGGGAGTGCCAGCGTTCTACAGATGGTTAGCGGAGAAGTATCCGCTGATTGTGGTGGACGTTATAGACGAATAACCAGTGGTTTTCGAGGGTGTCTCCATTCTGGTTGATACCAGTAAACCCAATCCAAATAAACTCCAGTACGATAATATTTATCTCGACATGAACGGGATTATTCATCCTTGTTTCCACCCCGAAGACAGGGTAACCCTCTCAACACATTGAAATTCCATCGTGTCTAGTTTTGTATTTCGTTGAAATTTTCAGAATTAATGTAATTTGGCTTATTCGATGTCTTATGCAGCCTTCACCAACAACTTTTGATGAAGTTTTTCAATGCATATTTGATTACATTGATAGATTGTTTGTTATGGTCCGCCCTAGAAAGCTTTTGTATATGGCTATTGGTAAGTAGTGCTTATTTTAGGTTGTAAGATGTATTTTTGATACGCAGATGAAGTGTATTTATGTTTAGCTGATGACACTAACTTTTTTATCTGGAAACATACGGTAGATGGCGTTGCCCCTCGTGCTAAAATGAATCGACAGCGATCTAGGTGTTTTAGAGCAGCGAAAGATGCTGCAGAGGCGGTATGTCATCTCATCTTTTTTTGGGTATACATGTGTGTATATTTGATATTTTTGTGTTGATTTTCTGTGTACTTCATAAAATGTTTGGTCATCAAGATATTTTTTGTATTGATATTTCACATTCTCCCACAATTTAATGATAGAAATGGTAGCAACAAAAGAAGACTGTTTGGTAATAATCTTGTTCTTGTTAACATTCCTTCTGCAGGCAGCTGAAGAAGCATGACTGCGAGAGGAGTTTGAGAGGGAGGGCAGAAGACTTCCTCCTAAAGAGGAATCTCATCTTTTTTATTCTAATGTTATTACACGTGGCACTCCATTTATGGTTGTTCTGTCAATTACTTTGCAGCACTATATCCACCTTAGATTAAATTATGACTCTGGGTGGAAAAATATCAAGGTAGTATCAAATATTATGGTACATAGTCTTTTTACTTTTTCATTCTTTCTTTTGACATGGTGCAGAATGTTAGCATTTCTCTTACTTTCATCTCTTTGAAGGTTATTCTATCTGAGGCAAATGTTCATGGTGAAGGAGAACATAAAATTATGATTTAGGAAGATGAGTTTTGGGAATAATCGGGTATAAGTGAGATTATAAACACGTGTTTTATTTTTTTCATTAAATTCAAATTAAGTATATATTAAATAGCATTTAGTACATTAACTAATCAAGTAATAAGCTTGGTTTAGTGGCAAAAATTGTGTCATTCCACAGCAATTGCTTAGATTTGATCCCCCTTCCAAGCCATCCTCCTTTTAAGGGTTTCTTTAAACAAACACAAATCAAAGAGTGACATGTCTCATTTTGTGATTGGTCATAAATAATTAAATATAAATAATATTATTCATAATAATTATTTATTTTATTTTTTAAAATTTTGACGTGACAATTCCACGTCATCATGAGCTCTGACATGGACATGCCACATCGGCATCTATGTCCATGTGTACATACTTGGTCAGCATCAGACGTTGATCGTCAGTTGACTGATGGTTTCCATTCATCGAGGGTGATTTTTGATTAAAAATAAACGTTGAGTGGACGAATATGTCAAAAAAAATGATAAGGGTATATTTGACACAGCTGTCAAACGTTAGAGTTATTTTATTGTATTATACTAAGTATTTTATCTCTAAGAAACCCAGTTCCTATGGAAGTCCAACTTCAGTGGGTCGATTTTTTTTTGTGTGTTGACAGAGGCATAGTGGCAGCTCGATTTAGGTGATCGGTGACTGATGGTTCGACTGGTGGTAACAACAGCAAGCCACGACAGCATGAGTATGATGGGGCTAGGGTTTATGATTAAGGTTAGGTTATTTAGGGTTTTATTTGGGGTTTTGGGTTTGATGTTTTGGACTCGGTTTATAATTTGGTTTGGGTCAGTTTGTTGTAACCTGTAAAAAATATAAAAAAAAAATTAACACTATTGATGATAATAAAAAATAATTCTGGACAAAAATGGGTGTCAACAACTCAAACAAAACAAACCTCCACAATAATGACATACCCCAAACCCAGATCTACAAAAAGGAAAAAAGAAAGAAAAAAACAAAAGCAAAAGCAAAATCAAAAACAAAGAAAAGAAAAGGGAAAATCAAAGAAAATAACGTTTACGTATGGTCGTTGCAATTTTTTAGTGATAAATTGATGAAACGTCAATCCCAATGGTGGAGAGTCTCCATTTTATGTGATCGAATGTATCGGAGGGAAATAACTCGAAAGGTTTGTGATTGATTTGAGAAAACTAAGACATTTGCTATTGAAACTAGGGTCGGATTTGTGCTCAAAAGGCACAAGAGAATCTGATGGCACATTTCGGAATTCAACAGTCACCGCTGAAGACGACTGGTATGACGATTGGCGGTGAATTTTTTTTTAGTTTATGGGATTTTTTACAAAGTAGAGGGAGAGTTTTATGAATGGGAAGAATATAAAATGAAAATAAAATATATAAAATATGGATGATCAAGTGTTTTTTTATGACCATTGAAACGACAACGTTTTGGCTGCCTGTTTTTGGCGAGTTTTTGATTTACTCCCTAGTAGATATGTTTAATTGCTATTTTGATCATTATTCTTTTTTATTTTTATAATTTAATCCTAATCATTTTATTGTAAATTGTTTTAAGTATTATTGTTGTTGTTGTTGTTGTTGTTGAGATAAAGAAATAAAAATAATATAAAAAAGGAAAAAAAAAGTTCCAAATCAAAATTGAATTGTTGGCTCAATTAGGGGTGAGTATTTGAAAAAAATGAGTTCACTTAAAAATCTGAGTTGATGAGTGATATTTTATCACTCAAACTTTATTTGAAATTTGTTTGAGTCCAATCTAGTTGTTTGAGTTTTTATTTAAATTCAATTGTAAATATTTACAATGTTATGAACTGATTGATTCCAATTTAAATACGTTTTTTATAGCTATATACAGTATACATATTTTTTTCATATACTATATACATATATCATGAAGAGTTGATGACTCGATTTAAATTTGAAAACCAATCCATTAATTACTAAAAATTTCAAGTTATTCGAATATTATTTTATAACTCACTCATTATTTGGAATATTTCAAGTCCACTTTATAAAATTATAAGTCTAATTAAATCAAATATATATATTTTTAAATTATCGAGTCAATTAAAAAATTGATTTTTTGAATAAGTTTTACTCATAATAAGCTAAGTAGTTAGGTGCATGTTTTTATATTCACAAAGCGTTATTTCGAGTTGTGTGAGACACAAAATGTGTTTTTTTTACAAATATAAGCTACAAGGGTTGTAAACACTAATTTTTTTCATTTTTGTTTTTTTTATTATTATTAAAATTATTATTATTATTATTAAATATTATTATATTATAATTATTATTTACAAACAGTTACAAACAAAACTGGACCGGCCCAGTTACAAACAAAACTGGACTGGCCCAGTTACAAACAAAACAGAACCGGCCCAGACCAACCAGAAACCCTAAATATTTGGGGTTTCAGCTAGGGTTTCTAAACCCTAGCCCCCCAGCCGCCTCCAAGATTCCAGAAGGCCAGCCACCGCCTCTGCTCAACCGCCACCTCCACGTTGACGCTTCAGCTGCTGCCACGCCGTCGTCAGTGCCACGCCACCCCATCGAAGCCTCGAGAAGCGCCTCGTCACCACCCAAGTTGATGCTCTATGGGTGAGTCACCACATAGTTCGGTGACTCACCGAACTCGACTTTATACCCGGTCCAACGAGAGCCTCATCGAGGCTATAAATCCATTACTTGCAAGACGAAAAAAAAAACAACAAAACAGAAAAAAAAGAAGAGACAGAGAAAAAGATACGAACAACCAGAGCAAGAACTACAGACACGAGAGCAAATCAACACCCAACAGCAACCAAATAAAGAAGGAGAAGAGGAAAGGAGACTTACCAAGGGAACTGCCATCATCAGAGCCTCCCTACGTCTTTGAAACCGAAAGGTCGAAGGTAAAGAACCTTAGATCTACATATTTTGGTAATGATCTAGGTTAAAATACCCTCGGATTTGGCTTTAGGGAAAGCAGGGCTTCGATTTAAGGTATATATGTAATTTTCTGGCCACCATTAACGGTGGCCGGCAGTGGAGACCGACATCGGAGTACGGTGTCCGGCGACTGCCGGAATTCCCTCTGGTTAGAGGAAGTTAGAGAGAGGCGAGAGAGTTTTATAAACTCTCTCAGTTAGAGAGAGACGAAGAAGAGAGGAAATGAGGGATGATGGCCCTATGGGCCAGCCATTTGGTCTTATATACCCCTCCCAAACGACGCCGTTTTGGGTAGGGGTATATCTGTAATTTCGCGCACGGGTCAAACCACTCGCGTAGTCATCCTAGCTTTGTAAATTTCTATTTTAGTCACTACAATCAACTTCTAATTATTTAAAATTTAGTCTTTACATTTTATTTTATTTTATTTTAGTCCTTATCTGCATATATATTTATTTAGGGTAAATACCTAATTTAGTCCTTTACAGTTTAGTAAATATCATTTTAATCCGAATTAATTAAATAAGGCTAAATTATATTATTATCACTTAGATCTTTTTATCATTTGAGTTAGAACCTTTAATTTTAATGATCATTATTTTAATCACCTATTAATAATTAGGGTTAATTACATCATTAGTAATTATATTTTTATAATACTATAAATAAGTGCTGTAAATTTTAATTTTTAATATTTTTATTTATTTTAATATGTTTTAGTCCCTATTTAATTACAATTTAATTTGTATTATTATCATTTCAAATCCAATATGTTTAAATGACTACTTTAATTATTATTTTATTATTATCTTAGTCATATAAATATATATAATAAATAATATTTATTTATTTATTTTCTTTGTTTTCTATGAAATAAAAATCTTATTTATGAACTATATATGTTTAATTTTATTTTATTAAGAAAATGATTTAGATATTTATTTATTTTTTAATATTGAAGAAAAGAGTTGTCTTAAAGTAACTAGAAGCTCTTTTCTGATATTTCTAAATAAATAAATATCTTATTTATATATATTAATATATTTTCTTAAAATTATAAATTTGAAATAAAAGGATTATGAATTAAATATATTTGATTTTTTTTTATTTTCTAATAATAGAGACAATTTATAATTAAAAAGTACCAATTTTGGGCGTTGTAGGGGTGCTAATCCTTCCCTAAACGTAACCGACCACGAATCCCTTTTTATTATTAAAAAGAACGAATTTTTTGGTTAAAACGCAGATCAGTTCATCTTTTAATTGATGTTTTCTTAAAAACTCTTTTAAAAGATAATTTTTAGGTAATCGACCTACCTAACCCAAAAGGCCGATGGCGACTCCTAAAATTATTTTTTTTTTAAAAACCCATTTATTCACATCACTTTTTTCGCCAAGTATTTAAAATTTCGTGCCCGGACAAAAACCGGTTACGACAGCTTGGCGACTCCGCTGGGGACTGTCAAACTTTAAAATTAATTATAAATTGTCTCTATTAGTTAGAAATTAAAAATTCATTTATTTAATTTTTAATTCTTTTCTTTCAAATTTTATTACTTATTATTTTTATATTATTTTATTAATATTTTTTTAAGGTATTAATTATTTTATTTATCTGTTAGAGGTTTGAACATTTCTCCTCACACACAACACTTGCATTGCATAAAGCTCTATAATTGAGTTTGTCCCTTTTGAGTGGGAGTGAAAGCGACGTCTTCGTGAGAATTTATTCTCCGTGTCAGACCTAGCAAGTAACTTTCGGGGTTCATATGCTCTATG